GGTAGAAATGGGGAAGGTGCAATAGTAGGTCAAAGTGAAACCATGTTATAGCAAAGGACATTAACAGGTCCCCCGTATTTCACTTCATTCTTAGGAAGATCAGCTTCAGCTGGCCGCTAGTGCTTGTCTGTGGTCAGAAGGGCGTGGGTTCAGGTCCCACATTAGAACATTGGGCTTAGAAATTGGTTTACCAGCCCAGTGCTGGGAGGTTGCATTGTCAGAGGTACCGTCCTTCAGAGAAATGTTAAATAGAGTTCCCGCACCATCACAAGATTTAATTTGATGAAGAGGATTCCAGAAGAGCCACCCTGCCATCATCCCCCTTCACACATCAAGCTGCTTTTTAAATGAGTCCAGTGTCTTGGCTACATCCACCCTTCCTACAACCTGTTTCCAGGTGCTAATTACCTCTGGTAAAGAAAACTTCCTGCTATCTGTCCTGAAATTGCCCTTACAACTCTAAAATGTTCTAACTGCCTCAGTGCATCTGAAAGTATTGATCTGGTTTACTATTTCAATCCCATTTAAAATGTTATACACCTCTGTAATGTTTCCTCTAGTCACATTTCTCAAGACTAAAAGCCCTAGCTTACTTAATTGTTGCTCACAGCTCATCCTCTAAGGACTGACTCTAATGGTATCATCCTCATTGCTCTCCTCTCACTGCCTCTATGCCTGGTTAGCCCCCTTATTCCCAGTGACTACCCCTCTCCCTTACCTCCAGCTATACCTCCTTCCCCCTCACTGACATCGTAAACTCTCCCTGTCCTCTGTACTGTTCCCACCCCATTAAAAACAGCTGTCATCACTCCTATCCTAACTACCGGCCCCATCGCCAAGCTCCCTTTCCTCTCCAATCCTAGAACATGTTGTTGCTACTCAGCTTCATCCTTCCTCTCCCGCCACTCCCTTCTTGAACCCCTCCAATAGGTTTCCTTGCCCCCCACAGCACAGAAACAGCCTGATCAAAATGACAAATGACATTCTGTCCCTCTGCGACCCGAGCTCCCTCTGTCTCCTCAGCCTCCTTGATCTCTCTGCTGTTTTCGACACTGTCGCCCACTCTATCCTCATCTACCTCCCTCCTTTCACCTCAACCTTCATGGCTGTCCTTTATTGTTCAGATCGTACCTTTCACACCGCCTGCACTTTATCTCCACAAACAGCTTCTCCTCGAGCCCCTAGACCATCTCTGCAGTGTCCCTCAGGCTCTGACTTTGTCCCTCCTCTTCAATATCTATATGGTCCCTCTTGTGATATCATCCACAGACATGGGTCAACTTCCAGATGTATGCGGATGACACCCAACTCCTCCTCTTCTACCTCCACCCTCGACTCCAGACCACTGCTGTCCTGACTGAATTCTGAAGCTAACTTTCCTCCACTTGAACGTCAACAAGACCGAGCTCTCCTGATTGGCTCCTGTCAACGCTTCCTCACCTCAGGCGCTGACAGCATCACCATTCATGGTTGCACACTCCACCTTGCTAATCCAGTCCCAAACCTTGGTCTTGTTTGACCCTCAACTATCCTTTCTACCCCACATCTGCTCCATGACCCCTCTGTCTTCCCCCACCTCCGCAACGTCGCCCAGCTCTGCCACTGTCTCACATCGCAGGCCGCCAAAACCCTCATATATGTCTTCAATACATCTAGCTCGATTATGCAAACTTATTGCTTGTTGGCCTCCCCAACTCCTCTCTCTGCAGGCTACAGATCATCCAGAACTCTGCAGCCCATGTCCTCTCCCGCACTAGGCTCCACAACCCTAGCACTCACATCCTTGCCCAAATCCACTGGCTTCCCATCACACAGTGGATATAGTTCAAGATCCTGGTCCTCACCTTCAAAGCCCTCCACGGTCTTGCTCCCCCCTACCTCTGTGACCTCCTAACCCCCTACCATCCTGTTTGCTCCCTCCGCTCAGCAGGCTCCGACCTGCTTCGCATCACCCTTGCCCGTCCCACCATTGGCAGGCGGGCCTTCCGCCACCCTGCCCCCACCCTCTGTACTCCATCCTGCAATCCCTCCACCTCGGCCCTCCCTTGCCACTTACAAGACCCGTCTCAAAACCTTCCTCTTAGACTGTGCTTTCGATCTCCTTGCTTCAGTCCCTGCTCTCCACCCTGAGTCCGTAACTCTGTCTGTCCAAATCCATGGGACGTCCTACCGATGTGAAAGGCACTTCATAAATGTAATTTTGTTGTGTTGTGACCAGAGCCATAAGTAGTATTCAAGGTGTGGTCTGCCCAGAGCATGACAGTGTTTCTGTGTGTTGGCGATATTGGTTAAGAAGGCATTAAACTGTATCTCGAATAACTCACCCTTGTGTATTGAGTAACTCCTCTTTCCCTTTCAAGCAGAACTCGAGTACCTTGTCTTTCAGATCAGATTGCTCCACACATTTTTCATCGTTTCCCACACGATAATATCCAAAATCACTGCAACAACAACACTAGGGTCAAAAGCAGAACAAGATAGGCTGTTGAAAGGCAGTTGCTATATTTTTACACTCTCGCTTCTGAGTCCGAAGGCTGTCAGTTCAATCCCCACGTTGGCACTTGGAACTCATATATTCTTTGCTCACACTCCAATGCAGTGCTGGGGGAGTGCTGCATTGTTAGTTAAGCTGACGTCCCATCTGTTCCTGTTCAGGTGGATATTAGAGATCCTGTGGCACTATTGGAAAAGAGAATTGAGTTTCTCTCTCCCGATGTCCTGGCCAACAATCCCCCACATAAAACCCGTCTCTCATTCCATGGCTGTTTGTGGGACATTGCTTTGTGCAACTTGATGCATTCACTGACCAAATACAGAGTCACTACACTTTACCATGAATCCCCAAAGCGCTTTGAGGCATCTTGATGACCTGATAAGGTGCTGTATCATATACACAAATGACTATGATTAAGTATCCACCCCTTCCAAGGTTCCCTACAAGGTTTGATTCGCCACCAACATACCGCGCCTCAGCAACAGTGAGATGTTGCAGAATGTAAAAACATCTACTGTCAAAACCTGTCTAAAACCCCATGTCTTTGAGGGGATAGCGACTTTGGCTTGTGACGTACCACATATAATCGGCCAGAGTGCACTGGCAGAAAGCTTGCTCTTTTACTGAGCTCATAGTCTCGTCCATTCCGGCACACTGAGGACTTTGCCAGTCGCTGGTACCTTTCTTTACAACCCAAATACAACCGTCGGTTTCTACTGCCAAAATCAGTGGAATGTGCCAGCCACAACACATAATCTCGCTCGTCACCTGGAAGAGAATAATTTACCGTATGAGAACGACCATTGAGGTCAACGTGTGTGAGAGTAAACAATGGGGTCAATGTGTGACAGAGCCTCTCATCTCATTAGAAAACATGCAGGATTCATTTATTTCTCGGCACGATTTATAACAATAATAATCTTACATTTGATATAGTGCCTTTCACGTCAAGAGGACGCTTTACAGGATTTACTGTAAATTGTGGTGATTGCATTTGTGGGCAAACACGGCAGGCAATTTGCGCACAGCAACATCCCACAAACAGTCATGAAGTGATTGACTGATTTTATCTGGAGGATTGTCAGCCAGGACACCGGAGAGAGAAACTCTCTTCTCTTTTCCAATCCACGGGATCTTGAACGTTTTTGGGTTGGGAGGGGCACATTGGGAATCTGGCATTGGATAGATGCATTGGAGTGAGCAGACCAGGGGGAGGAAAGCAGAACAGTGAGCTTTTAGCAGCAATTCAGAATATCTGGTAGTGAATCAGGTTGGACACATGCAAGAATGTAGCTGAGGACAACGGGGGGGATAATAATAATAATAATCCTTGCATTTCATTAGCGCCTTATCGCATCTGTGAGATGTCTCAAAGAGCTTCACAGAATATACTGTAAAGTGAATTGACTGTATATTTTTGTGGGATGTAAGGAAAAGCTTGTACCAGTACCAGGTTGTGTCAAAGAAGCATTGGCCACTAATTAAACTGAGTGGTTCCAACCTGGAGAATTAACGATCACACATACACGCACACAGTTACACGGACACACTTTCAACACCGACACACACACTAACAACAACTTGCATGTATCTAGCACCCCTCATGCAGGGTAGCATCACAGGGTGCAACACATACACACACATGTGCTTCTGTGTAATGAGGTCCCCTGCCCTCCACACACACACACACACACACACACACACACAGAGATTCCTGTTCGCCTGTCACATTGCTGGCTTGCTTTGTCACAATGCCAGGTCTTGCCTGTAACAACTCCACAAGTGTTTACAACACGATAGCACACAGAGTCTTTCACAGCACATCATGCCACTCACAGTCTCGGGTCAGAAGTTCGTTGAAATCAATGGTGTAGGAAAGCCACGTGGTTTTGTACAAATTCTCCTGTTTATAGCCCCACAGACTCACGTTCATGGACTTGGCCCCTGGCTCGGACACCAGCCCCACAAACATGAAGGTCTCATTAGTGAAGTTGTAGCTGTGCCAGCACTGACCTTCATCTGTCGAGTATCTTCGTTGAAAAGAGGAAAAGAGTAAAGGACAAGCTCATTGTCAGAGGCTCCGTCATATTTTTTACATGTTAACACTGAACAAGCACCAGCCAGGAGTTCCAGCCGAGAATACTAACATCTCCAATGAAGTGACCAAGGATTTTGACAGAAATATCCATCTTTTGGTTCATTAAAACTGGGGGGTTTATTCTCCAAATACTGAAGAGCTGACGTGCCTCACTTGCATTTCTTGGAACAACAAACCATTCCCTTGGGCCAGACTGTTCTGACTATTGTCAACATTGCTCTATTACCCAGGAGGATTAGGATAATTAGAGGAAAAATTTCACGCAGATGTGGAACTCTCAAAGCAAAGAGAGTGGGTAGAAGAGTGGAGTATGAGCAGGTCGGAGAGGTAGGGGGTTGCTAGGGCGTGAATTGATTTGTTTGTCAGTGTGAGGATCTTGAAATTTGATCCGTTCTGTGACAGGGAGCCAGTGGAGCTTGGGAAGGACTGGGATGACAGGGAATTTGGTGCGGAATTTGGTGCGGGTGAGGACATGGGTGGAGTTTTGAATCAGTTTTGAACTTTGTGAATGGTGGAGCTGGGGAGACCGGTGAGATGTTTGGTTAAGACCTTGGTTACATAACGTACTTTATAACCTGTACGGCCCTGTCTGGGTGAGACTCCAAAGCCACGATCAGCCCTCCAGAGTCCAACATAGTATAATAGTGAGGCCCATTCAGAGCTTTCCACCACGTATAGCCTCCGTCATCAGACACGTAGACATTAGGAAGCAAGGTAGAGATGACATCACCAAACACTGCCTGTCACAACAACAACAACAAATTACATTTATGAAGTGCCTTTCACATCGGGAGGAGGTGCCAAGGTGCTGGACAGTCAAGGGTTTTGCCCCTGATTTGGGGGCTGGAATCAAGAGGAGTGGAGGGCAAGGAGGATGGAGATGTACTAAGGCATGGTTGAATAGGAAAGTCTTGTAATGGATCTTGAAAGAGGGAAGGGAGGGGGCAAGGCGGAGGGGTTCCAGGATGGAGATCCAGAGGGTGGAGGCAGAAAGGCTGAAGGTCCGACCGCTGATGGTGGAGTAGGCCGGACAGGGGCCATGGAGCAGGCCAGTGCCTGCTGAGCGTGGGAGCTGGTGCATTGGTCAGTTTTTAGAAGGTCACAAGAGGAGAAAAGCTCAACTTCCAGCACATTGCTTTATGGACATCCAATTCCATGCCCCTTGTGACATGCGCACACTCATCCCAAAAATCCAGACTCACCATGAGCGATCACCACGCCCACTGCATTTGGTGCAGTGAGTGGGGGAACGGGTACGTCCACTTTCTGAGATATGCTGTAGGTGGAGTGGATGTGGAGACTACACTGCAAACAAAAACAAAGACTCGGTATCAGGGATGGAAGTTCGAGCCCCACATCGGGGACTTTGAGCTCACGGTCCAGGCTAACGCTCCAGTGCAGGGCTAGGGGGAGCTCCACATTCTTGGAGACGCCATCCTGCAGATGAAAGATTAAACCAAGACCCTGTGTGTCTGTTCAAGTGGACATAAAAGATCCTCTGGCTCTATTGGAAAAAAGAAAGGAGTTTCTTTTTCTCGGTGTCCTGGGCGACAATCCCCCAGAAAAAATTGGTCACTCAGTTCATGGCTGTTTGTGGGACAGTAGTTTGTGCAAATCGGTTGCTACTTTCACCTTCAAAACGGAGTCACTGCACTTTATAATCTATCCTATGAAGTGTTTGGAAACGTCTTCTGGTCTTTATGAGGACCTATACATCCCACCATCGTGAGTCCTTCCCACCTCGCCCAGGGAATCACATTGCCCAAAAGATACCAACATTTATTAAACATTAGATAACCGGGGCTCCAATGCTGTAAAACCTACTTGTAGAATCATAGAATTATATATCACAGAAGGAGGCCATTCGGCCCATCGTGTCTGTGCTGGGTCTTTGAAACAAGCTATCCAATTCAATCCCATAGCCCTGCAAACTATATTGGATCGAGCAAGTAGAGGACTCCGAGACACTGAGATAAGAGGACAAAGGGTCAGGATGGGATCAGGACACATGTCTTTATACAAATATTAATTAACAATTGCAAGAGAGTTGCCTGGAAGGGGAGCTGGGCAAGGACACGACTCCTCTTAGAAACATTTTGATGCTGCATCGGGAACACTGCAGCTCGGACTGCACGCATTCTTTCTCTCTCACACTCTCTTGCACACTCTCTCACTCACACTGACCTGCTCCGGGTTTTTGGCTGTCTTGTCACACTGACTGTTGGATGGTCTCTTCAACGCTCTCCACTCCCCTCCACTGTCGAAGGTGATCACTGATCGGATAGTGTTGTCTGTCAGCAAAGGGGCAATAACAAGCTTCTGGTTACAAACATAGAAATAAATGAGATTCACGTGTTCCCCTCGGTTATCAGGTGTCAGAGTCAGTGCCCTTGACCATCCTGTTGGTTGATTGTAAAGTGTAGTGACTGTGTGTTTCTTAGGCAAACATGGCAGCCAATTTGCACACAGCGATGTTCCACAAACAGCCATGAAATTAGGAACCAATTTTATCTGGGAAATTTTTGGGTAGGAAACTGGAAGAGAGGAACTCCATTCGCTTTTCCGATAGTGCCCTGGGATCTTTAATGTCAACCTGAACAGACATGGGATCTTAGGTTAACATCTTATTTGAAGGACGGCTCCTCCGACAGTAGTGAACCCTAAAGCCAGCCAGAGACAGATCCTCCCTATTAGAAAAGAGATTTTCTTTTGCATGCAGTCCTGGCCAACAATCCCCCAGATAAAGTTGGTCATTCATTTCATGGTTATTTGTGGGACATCATTGTGCGCCAATTGACTACCGCGTTTGCTTACAAAATATACAGGCACTACACTTTAATAATAATCCTTGCATTTGATCACGTCTTCGAGATGTCTCAAATCGCTTCACAGAATGTACCACATATTTTGAATTGATCGTATATTTTATGGATGAAACGCTTTAATGAATCCTGTGAAGCGCTTTGAGACTGCAACACAAATTAACATTTATACAGTGTCTTTCATGTCTGGAGGACATTCCCATGTGCCTACCAGTCCTACCTGTGCTCCTGAGCTGGGGGTGTGAGCTTAGTGGGAGTGGGGATGGGAGGGAGAGGGCAAAGGCATGGTCCTGAGATAAACATTGAATGAGGTGGAAGGATTTCAAGATGGAGTTGCAGAGACTGGAGACCGAATGGCTGAAACCTCAGCCGCTAATGGTGGACAGGGCAGGGAGGGCACATGAAGCAGGCTAGTGCGAGAGGAGCAGTGGGTAGCTACCAGCAATGCTGTGGAGGAACAGAGGGCATATGTTTACTTATGTCCAGGACATTGGTGATGTAGACTCCCCGCAGGGATGTCACGTTGGTGAAATCATTGGCTCCACTGGAATCCACGAACAGATGGCGCTCCAGAGACTTAGAGAAGAGGATCCCACGATCATCAGACGTGTAGATGGTACCAAAGCCCGTGTCTGAAAGGGAGCAGGCACAAAACATGAGGGGATCACATGAGGCATGAGCGGGGAGCACGCGAGGCACGAGCGGGGAGCACGCGAGGCGCGAGGCAGGGGGGGTCACGCGAGGCACGAGGTGGGGGTGTCACGCAAGGCACGAGTCACGTGAGGCGGGGGCGTTCACGCGAGGCATGAGGGGATCAGTTGAAGCACGAGGTGGGGGGGTTCACGCGAGCCACGTGGCCGGGGGGAGGTCACGCGAGCCACGAGGGGACGTTGAAGTAACTGTACTCACTCCCCGGCTCATCCACATGCATGAAAATCATCTCATTGTCTGCCCCGAGTATGGAGTAGAACTGTAAAGAACAGACACTGCAGTTGTGTGAGACTGTCTTTAACTTTGATTTCTTGCACATGTAAGATACATATATGCCACACAAAATCACAAGCAAAACACACGCCAAATACATACAAACGCTGAACATTACCCCCACCACACACACACACCAAATACATGCGCACACTAAACAGACACCACCCCCCAGCATCCCAACATGCACACTCACACAAACACGCATAAATACTCACATATTTTGCATTTTGTGGGCAGACGTGACAATTGATTTACATACCGCAACATCCTACAAATAGCCATGAATGGAGTGACCAATTTTATCTGGGTGATTATTGGCCAGGACACAAAAAGAGAGAAACTCTCTTCTCTTTTCAACACTGTGCGATCTTTAACTCCCAATTGGACCTCAGTTTAATGTCTCATTTGAAGGATAGCATCTCTGACAATGCAGTGCTCCCCCAGTAATGGGCTGGAGCATCAGCCTGGACTGTGAGCTCAAACCCCCAACGCAAGGCTCGAATGAACCCACAACTTTCTGACTCAGAGACTCTCAGAGGCTTTTTTGTATGATAAGAAATGCGAGTCTCACAAACAGAAACAGGAAGTACATCAAAGCATCATAATAGGATTGACTCAGAGATCAGAATACCATAGAAATCTACAGCCATCGTGTCTTTGCTGCTTCCTTAGAGCAATCCTTTCAGTCCCATTGACCTGCCCTTTCCCCCCACATCCTTATAGCTGACTCTGGTTACTGGAAAGAGTTAGAAATGTGACTGGGACATTTTGCTGTTGGGAATGGCTCCCATCTCCAGTCCAGTGGGATTCTCCTGAAACAGGATTGGATCCCACACCAGAGCGTTAAGGCCAGGAAATCCCTTTGGCCCCGCTGGCTGGATATCAGCCCTGAGTTCGGGAGCACAAGGAGCAATAGCACTGGAGCTAAGGTCAGACCACCCATGTTGTACCTGTTCGTGACTAACTGGAGGCAGTTGAGCTTCATTCCACGTGTCGCCCTGGTCAACAGACACGAGGATAGACCTGGGGAGACTCTGAGGAGAACAAGCACATCGAGTTATGCTTCACAGTTTGTTCCTGACAACTGGGTCACATCTCTTCTCACCCTTCTCTTTTCCAATTATTCTTAACGTCCACCTGAACAGACGCAGACAGGGAGCTCAGTTTAACGTCTCATCCAAAGGATGGTGCCTTCCCCAAGCACTGTACTAGAGCATCAGCTGAGACTATGCCATTCCAAGTCCCGACATGGGGCTTGAATCCACAATCCTCTGACCAGAAGCAAGAGTGCTGCCACTACGCCAGGCTGACACTAAACCAAGCATTACCCGAGAGCTAGTAATGCTCACAGGACTTTGTGTACCAGCACAAAAATAAGGACTTCAACAATAGCTGGTATTTAAATAGGCCCTTAACACAGGGTAGCATCTCAGAGCATTTAGATAGGAAGCAATGGCTACCCAGAACTTAGTTATTTTAGCAGAGTGGTTATCAAACCACTAGTAATTCAACAAACAGAGTTATCCCTCCACTAGTTATCTTAGCAAAACTGGTAATCCTACCACTAGTTACCATGAGTTAACCTATCATCAGTTATTTTGCAGAAGTTACCATTACTATCATCCAAAACTAGCTATCCAAATATTTGTTAACAAACCAGCTATCGCTAGTTATCCAGGATGACTAGTTATCTTACCTGATTATGAATAACAGAACAGAAGAGAAATTGCCCAGCAAAGCCAAAGGAGTAGATGTTGGTGTGGAGCTTGGTGTTGGACTTGCCCAGGTCAGTCGTCCTCTGCAGGTGCAGGTTTCCTCTGGCGTTCACATCATCTAAACAACACAGTACACCGGTCACTGGCTGGGGGTGGGGGGGGAGATACCGAGAAGGTTAACGCCAAGGTGATGGCGGCGATGTTGGGGGGTGTTTGGTAACTGTCTCAATGACGATTTGGGGGCGAGCTAAGTGACGAGTTTGAAGAAAGTTTTGGGTACCCAATGAGAAAGGCAGAGAAAGAGACTTTCTTAGAGAAAGACCTGTGTGGTACACAGTATAGACCTGGAGTGCCGCACTGTGGAGACTCTGTATGCGGGAAGGGGTGGGAGACACCTGACGTGCACAGACAGGACTTCAGTTTAACTGTTCATCTGACAAATGGCGCCTTTGACAATGCATTGCTATCCCAGCACTGCACTGGGGCAGTGCTATCCCAGCACTGGCATTGCTATCCCAGCACTGCACTGGGGCGACAGCCTGGACTGCAGGATAGTTTAAATATCATCAGCATTCTCCTGTATGGATTTTTGCAGGTACGAGGGCATGGATCTATGATCCACGTTTTACTCTGATCATTAAACGTGGCCAGGGAATGAACTGGGTAACACTGGAGAGAGGTTCACAGTGAACTTGTATCTATCACAGAGCTTTACTCACAGATGCCTTTGGGATTGTTAGAGTAAAAGATTGTGCTTCCTGGACCCCTATCAGGAGAGGAGAGACACACAGAGAAAAATAGATAATATTAATTTGCTATCTGATCAATGCACACCAACCCACTAGGAAATGTATCACACCCTCACTGTAAATGCATCACATGCTCACTGTAAATGTAGTGCACTACTAGTGATATCCAGAAACACTATTTACCATGAGAATGTGTAGACAGACTCCTCGAGTTTTTTCCACGTTGTTCCAACGTTTAGAGAAAGCCACAAAGAATGCTGAGAACAAGAGAGAGGATAAAATCTGAGATGTTACTGTGTGCAAATTGGTTGCCACATTTGCCTGGAAACCACACAGTCACTCAACTTTACAGTGAATCCTGTAAGGATTTTATTACTCAGAAGGAAAGTCGAGGAGCTGAACACTGTGTTTGTCTTTGGTTTTTCGGGGGTCAGCCGGGTGTCTGACACATGCAGAAACCTATCACCATGCTTAAGAGTATCCAAACCAAACTAAATTCCATACAAAAGGGTAAATACTACAGATGCTGGAAATCTGAAATAAAAATAGAAGTCGCTGAGAATACTCAGCAGATCAGGCAGATGGAGAGAGGAAAAAGTTAACGATTCAGATCGATAACCTTGCGTCAGAACTCAACTAACAAAAGGTTAACTCACTTTTCTCTCTCCATAGATGCTGCCTAACCTGCTAAGTGCTCCCAGCGACTTCTGTTTTTATTTCTGAGTTCCATGCATCCCACCTAAACATGGAAATTCCAGAGATATCTTTTGGAATAGGATGTGCAATCTCTCCCTGGAGGGATGCATCCTGCTTACCTAATTCCATAGACTATTAGTATAGGTTGGCAAGCCAAGACTTAGGGAGCACAGAGTCTGCGTTGGATTAACCAGCTTGGTGTCCAGTCAGCTAAAACCACACAGCTTGCCACTGTCTGGCAAGCTTTCCCACTGCTTGTCCAGCTAGGACCACCCTACCCATTAGGGCTTTGGCTTGCAGGGTTAACAGGAGCTGAGTGGCAAGAGTTTCTGCCCCAAAAGACTGGTCTATGTTCGTGTTTGGCTTACCTTGATGCAGTAGGCCAGCAGCTGGGATGGGTTGGAGGGATGGAAAGTCATGCCTTGGGAAGGATGGAACGGAAGATTGATAAACTCGAACGTCTCTCCAGAGTCCGATGATCGGAATATCGCCCCGCCGGCTTTCAGTTTCGAAACATCAGCTGTTAGAATTACCTACAGACACAAAGTAACAAGATTGTAGGGCTGGGTCAACAGGCAGTGCACCATTCAATGTTAGAGCTTATCACCCCCATGCTCGCCTGGCTCCATTGGCTCCCGTCCCCCAAAGAATCCGGTTCAAGATCCGCATCATTAAATTCCTCTGCGGTTTCAACTCGGCCCTATCTCTGCAACCTCCGCAAACCCCACAGAGCTATACAGAGAGATACTACATCAATGTAAGTTGTATTGAATTGTGCACATACCTTTTTGGAATTTTCTGGGCCAACATTAATGCCGAATTCTTTACGAATATAATAGTTTTTGAGGACTTTAGAGACGTCAGTAAAGGTTTTACCAAAGTCTTCGCTGAAAGACAATCCAGCCAGTTAGAAATTCAACCAAACTTCACTCAACAATTTACAACAATAATAATAAAACAGTCATCATCATCCCTCCATTTGATTTGGTATCTACAATGTCAATATGTTTCAAAGCACTTCCCAGATTACACTGTAACATGTAGTGACTGTGTATTTTGTAGGCGAACCCGGCAGCCAATTTTGCACATAGCAATGTCCCACAAACAGCCATGGTGTGAGTGACCAATTTTAACTGGGGGATTATTGTCAGGGACTCCGGGAGAGAGAAACTCCCTTTTTTTTCAATAGCGCCGTGGGATCTTTATCGTCCGCCTGAACAGGAAGGGCCTCAGTTTAACATTTCATCCGAAAGACATCACTTCTGATAATGCAGTGCTTCCCCAGGACTGCACTGGGGTATTAGCCTGGACTCCAATCTCACTCGGAATGGATCGAGGGTTACTTGGAGTGGATTGGATAACCCGAGGAGGGAAAAGTTGCTCTTACCTTCTGTATAGCCGAGAGGCTCCATTAAAAAAGATGAAGGAAAAGGGCAAATTGAATGTCGTCAGAGCGAGAACAATCTGTAAAAGAACAGCAGAGTCTTTACAACATCCCTATCTGGGCCCAAATACTTGAGCACAGTCAGCACCTGGAATTCACTCATCCTAGACTTTTTTTTTTGCTTTAGAAAGACTGAACAACAACAACAATTCATTCAAACAATGCATTTAAAAACTTTCACTTTGGGAAAAAGTTAGAAATGCAATTTGTTGTTGTTGTGCTCCATGCGGAGCGGAGGTTCTCCATGTAGAACACAACACTACATTTGTACAGTGCCTTTCACATTGGGAGGACGTCCCAAGGCGCTGGACAGGCAGACTTTCGGACCCAAGCTGGGGGTCGGGATTAGGGAGGGTGAAGGGCAGGTGGAGGAAGCAGGGAGATCGAAAGCACGGTTGACAAGGAGGATCTTGAGATGCAGGCAAGGGAGGGGGTGAGGTGAAGGGACTGCGGGATGGAGTTCTAGAAGGTGGGGGCAGAGTGGCAGAAGGCCCGCCAGCCAATATGGTGCAAGCCAGGCGGGTAATATGAAACAGGCTGGGGCTCGCTGAGCGGAGGGAGCAAACAGGATAGTAGGGGCTTAGGAGGTCGCAGAGGTAGGGGGCTTCAATGCCCTTCAAACCATGGAGGGCTTTGAAGGTGTGGACCAGGATCTTGAAATGTATCCTCTGTGTGATGGGAACCAGTGGAGTCAAGTGAGGATGGGGGTGCTAGGATCACAGAGCGGGAGAGGACATGGGCTGCAGAGTTCTGGATGATCTGCAGCCTATCGAGGGAGGAGTTGGGGAGGCTGACAAGCAAAGAGTTTGCATAGTCAAGCCTCGATGAAATGAAAATGTGTATGAGGGTTTCGGTGGCCTGTGGAGTGAGACAGCGGCAGAGCCGGTCCATGTTGCGGAGGGTGTGGAATGCAGAGCGGGTCATGGCGCAGATGTAGGGTAGAAAGGATAGTTGAGGGTCAAAAAAAAATCCCAAGGTTCTGGACTGGCTTAGTAAGGTGGAGTGTGCAACCATGTATGGTGATGCTGTCAGCACCTGAGGTGTGGAAGCTCTGACGGGAGCCATTCAGGAGAGCCTCGGTCTTGTTGACATTCAACTGAAGAAAATTAGCTCTCATCCAGGGCATGATGTCTGCCAGACATTCTGTCAGGACAGCAGTGGTCCTGGAGTCAAGGATGGAGGCAGCGAGTAGAGTTGGGTGTCATCCACAAACATGTGGAATTTGACCCAATGTCTTTGGATGATGTCACCAAGAGGGAGCATGTAGATATTGAAGAGGAGGGGACCAAGGACAGAGCCCTGAGGAAAGCCGTACAAGACTGTCTGGAGGCTAGAACAGAAACTGTTTGTGGAGATGAAGTGGAGGAAGTGTAAGAGGTACGATCTGAACCAGTCAAGGACAGAGCTGTGAAGGTTGAGGTCAAAGGAGAGATGGTGGATAAGGATAGAGTGGCTGACGGTGTCGAAGACAGCAGAGAGGACAAGGAGGCAGAGGGAGCCCTGATCGCAGATGAACAGAATGTCATTTGTCACTTTGACCAGGGCTGTTGCAGTGCTGTGGCGGGGCACAGAAACCTGATCGGAGGGGTTCGTGAATGGAGTGGTGGGAGAGGAAGGAGCGAAGCTGGGAATCAACAACTCATTCCAGGATCTTGGAGAGGAAAGGGAGGTTGGAGATGGGGCAGTAGTTTGAGAGTGGAGATGGGTCCAGGAAAGGTTTTTTTTAAGGATAGGAGTGAACCAGAACCTGCAGAGCGCGCAGGTTGATATGGTGTTAATTGGTCACAGAGGTAGGGAGCAGCAAGACCGTTGAGGGCTGTAAGTGTGAGGACAAGGATCTTGAACTCAATCCTCTGAGGGATGGGGAGCCAGTGAAGCCGGGCGAGGATGGGTAATGGAGCCTAGTGCAGGAGAAGCCACAAGCTGCGGAGTTCTTAATAATCTGTAACCTGTGGAGGGAAGAGTTGGCAAGTCCGACAAGCAAGGGGTTAGCAGGGAGTAAAGCATGGAAAATGAAACTGGTCCCAACCAGTTCCTGCTGGTGTTTAAACACCTTACTCCCTCCCACACCCTTCTATTTCCCTCTCCCTCATGTGACGGTCTAGCTTCTTCTTGAATCTAGTGAGGTATACTATCTGATTAAACCACTGCTTCAGGCAGTGAGTTGCACAATCTCACAGATACGAAATAACTCTTCTGGGTTTACTTTCTCAACCTCAGTTAGTTCTGCAATACCAGAGAGAGAGAGAGAGAGAGAGCAGAGAAAGAGAAACTGAGAGAGAGAAATATATAGAGAGAGAGACAGCGAGAGAAAAACAGAGAGAGTGGGAGATAGAAGGAGAGAGAGAGAACAAAGAAAGTGAGACACACTCGGAGAGGGAGCCTATTCTGGATAGCTGTTTGCTGGATTGAGTTGATGACAGACAGAGGGTTGATGAACCAGTTTGGCCTGTCTCAAGCTCCACTTCCTGCCGCTGGACACGTCTGCAACGTTCCCTCCCCCGCCCTTCACTGAGGGCCTGTCACCCGCTCCGAGTGCCAGGCTGACTGTCACCCGCTCCGAGTGCCAGGCTGACTGTCACCCGCTCCGAGTGCCAGGCTGACTGTCACCCGCTCCAAGTGCCAGGCTGACTGTCACCCGCTCCGAGTGCCAGGCTGACTGTCACCCGCTCCAAGTGCCAGGCTGACTGTCACCCGCTCCGAGTGTCAGGCTGACTGACTGTAACCCTGTACCAGTCTGAATGCCGAGTGACCTTCAACAGAGATGGGATTGAAAAAATAAACCCAGATCAATACTTTCGGACAGGTTTTCAAAGAGTTGTAAAGGGCAATTTCAGGAAGTTTTCTTTACCCAGGGGGTAATTAATGAATAGAACAGGTTACCAGGAATGGTAACTGAGGCCAGGACACTGGGACTCATTTAAAAAGCAGCTTGATGCTGTGTTGGGGGGGATGGTAGGTTGGGTGTTTTGGAGGGATGAGATCAGATCGGCCGAAGGGTCTTTTTCCTCTACAAAGAGGGTGACTCTCTTTGTAGAGAAACACAATGGGAAATTTGTGGTAGTCAGGTCTCCCACACATAGCCATGGAGTGAGTGACCGGTTTTATATGGGAGATTCTCGGCCAGGACACCAGGAGAGAGCAAATCCCAATATCGCCGCAGGATCTTTAAAATCCATCTGAATGGGCACAGACGGGACCTCGGTTTAACATCTCATCCCTGAAGAACACCACCTCTGACAATACAGCGCTCCCCCCAGCGCTGCACTGGAGCAACAGGCTGGAACTGTGTGCTCAAAGTCCCAATATGGGGCTGGAACCCACAGCCTGTTGATTCAGAGGTGAGGATGCGAGTGACTGAGTCAGGCTGACGCATACACACACACACTGACAATGGCAGAGAAGTCACAGACTGGCAAAGGTGGACAGTTCACAACAACAAGTTGCATTTACATAGCACCCCTCATGCAAGGTATCGTTCCGGAACGCTTGACAGTGGTGGAGTGCAGGTAGGCAGAGAGGTCACAGACAGGTAATGACAGAGAGGTCACAGACAGGTAATGGCAGAGAGGTCACAGACAGGTAATGGCAGAGCGGTCACAGACAGGTAATGGCAAAGAGATCACAGACAGGTAACGGCAGACAGATCACAGAGAAGTAACAGCAGAGAGATCACAGACAGGCAACGGCAGAGAGATTATATCTATGAAAGGAACCCTGCGACCTTTCAGAAACAAGGGACTCATTTGCTTTGCAAAGTGTTTTTACCGATCTCTAGCAACGGTGTCACTAACATTCACTGGCTATTGGAATGGTTTTGAGGGTTTGTCCAGTGCGGTGGGGATGAGGAACTGATTAAAGCGTTGAAGAAATTGAAGTGGTGGTTTAAAGGGTTAAAGCTCGGGGTACGGAAAGAGGAAGCACTGAACACTGGCCACATCTCCTTACCCCGGTTCCGTCTCCCACCCATGCCAACGTGACGGTGGAGCCATCATCATCCTCGAACGTGTACTGAAATAAAAGAAATAGGAGTTAGAGAGGAAACTATGTCTTTTATTCAATTAAATTTTCTCAACAAAAGGCTCCTGACAGACATCATAGTCTGTCAACCTAGCTCAATGGTAGCGTTCTCGCTTCTCAAGTCACAAGATTGTGGCTTCAAGGACGACAGGATTTCAATTTACACAGTATAGTAATAATATAACAATTTACACAGTATAGGATGACCCTCCAATGTTGTGCTGAGGGAGTGCTGCCCTATCAGAGGCACTGCCTTTCAGAAGAGATGCAAAACCGAGGCTCGTCTGTGCCTTTTCAGGTGTACATTAAAGATCCCTATCTGAAAAGAGAAGAGAGTTTCTCTCTCCCAGAGTCCTGGCTGACAATCCCCCAGATAAAATGTGATCATTCACTTTATGGCCGTTTGACGTTGCTGTGTGCAAACTGACTGCAGCATTCACTAAAAAAATACAATCACTACACATTATGAAATGCTTTGAAATGTCCTCCTGATGCTATAGGTGCTGTGTCATATGTAAGAATTATTATTATTTAAGCTGCTCCCCAACCCTGTGCTTATCTGCTAAGAAGCTGACCTCCACCCTCCCTGCCTCTCACAATGAGTTAAATACCCTATGATTGTAGAGTTTGGTTAAACTGTGGAACATCACACCTTTCTCCAACACGTAGAGCAATGCAGAGCTTACCAAAATTAAACTATGCAGTTAGGCTGGTTCAGCCATTCACACTCTCACCTCAAGTCCCCACACTGGGGACTTTGAGCTCACATGGAAATTCCTGAGTCTAGAATAGAACATGCACGCTCTCCCTGGAAGGATGCACCTGCTTACCTAATTCTGGAGAGAAATAGGCGTAGGTTTGTGAGAGCCAAGGCTTGGGGACCTCAGATTATGCGTTAGGGTAGCTGCTGAAGTCTAACCAGCTAAAACCGCATAGCTTGCCATTGAGAACACTGTGTGGCAAGCTTTCCCACTGCTTGTCCAGCTAAGTTCACCTACTCATTAAGGTTTTTCCTTGCAGGGTTAACAGAACTAAGTGAAATAATCCCTGCGCCCAGTGACTGGTTGGCCCCTCCAATTCTTGCTGATGAGCTTGGTTTTCTGCCTATCATATAATCTTGCATTTGATACAGTGCCTTTATCACATTATCAAGACATTTCAAAGTGCTTTGCAGTATATACTGTAAAGTCTAGCGACGGTATATTTTGTGTGTGAACATGGCAGTCAATTTGCACACAATAACATCCTATAATAATAATCCCTCCAAAAAACAAAACAATAATAAATTGGTCATTTTCAATCCACGACTGTTTGTGGGACACTGCTGTGTGCAATTGGCTGCCACGTTTCTCCCACAAATATACGGTTAATACACTTTTCAGCATATTCTATGAAGCGCTTTGAGACATCTAGAAGATGTGAAAAGCGCTATATCAAATGCAAGGATTATTATTATTATTACAACAAACAGCCATGAAGGGAGTGACCAATTTTATCTGGTGTATTGTCAAACAGGACACCGGGAGAGAGAAACTCCCTTCTCTTTTCCAATAGTGCCGACATATTTTTAATATATGTCCACCAGAACAGGCACAGATGGGACCTTGATTTAACATCTCATCTGAAAATGACATCTCTTCCCCTACACTGGTGTGTCAGCTTAGATTGTGAGCTCAATGGCCTGACAATGTGGCTTGAACTCACAACCTCTGACTCAAGAAGTGAGAATGCAACCACTGAGCCATGCTGACATATTCTCACCCTTTACTTAGGAAAGGAAGGAGTGCAAATTAAGAAATATAATACTTATCCTTGCAATAATTAGTGTTTTGTCACATCGTCAAAGCACATCACAGGAAATTTACTGTGAAGTGTAGCTACTGTGGATTTTGCAGGCAAACGGAGAGGGTAATGGGATTGTAAGATCTACTGTGATGTGATCAAGCCAAAGGGCCATCTCCGGTTATGTTTGGGACTCATCGGTTTAGGTTGATGTTAAAGATCCCATGGCACTATTGGAAAAGAGAAGGGAGTCTCTCTCGATTTCCTGACTGACAGTCCTCCAAATAAAATCAGTTACTCACTTCATGTATGTTTTTCGGAGGGTTGTTGGTTGCTGTATGCAAATTGGCTGCTGTATTCACTCACAATACACAGTCACGACACTTAACAGTATGTCCTGTGATGTGCTTCAAGACATCCTCCCTAAACGAAATGTAAGGATTGTCATTATGCCCTTATGAATACACAGTATGATCTCTCTGGTGGTTAAAGAGTCAGTTCTAAAACTAACTGACTGTTACTGAGGACTACAGTTTGCACTTGCTTCAACTTCCTGTAATCAGACACGTCCAAAACTCATTATGGGTCTCGTCACAAACTGTCACACCAAGTCACAGATCCTCTGATAAATATCACCCACAAATATACAGTTAATTCACTTTACAGTCTAGTCTGTGAAGCACTGTGAGACGTCTAGAAGATGTGAAAAGTGCTATATTAAATGCAGGGATTATTATTATTAAATGTTCGCCTGGTTCAGTCATTCCCACTTCCACCTCAGAAGTTTGCAACTTCAAACCCCACATCAGGGCTTTGATCTCAGTCTAGGCTGAAACTGTTTGATACAAAACAGTGCTGGGGGAACGCAGCATTATCAGAGGAACTGTTCTTCTGATGAGACGTTAAATCAAGGTCCCATACATGCCCTGTTTAGATGGAAGTTAAAGATCCTGTGGCACAATTGGAAAAGAGAACGGAGTTTCTCTCTTATGGTGTCTCAGCTGACAATCCTCCAGATAAAATTGGTTACTCACTTCATGGCTGTTTGTGTGACGTTGCTGTGTGCAAATTGGCTGCCAAGTTTGTCCACAAAACACAATCACTACACTTTACAGTGTGCCCTGTGCAGCGCTTTGAGAAGTCATTCCGACAATGAAAGGTGCCTGTATCAAATGTGAGGATAATTGAATGTCTGGCTGGGTGCTAGCAAAAACCTAGATCAGAAAAACATATAGTGCATTTATTTAGAAGAAGAATCATTTCATTTAATACAGCTGTGGCATCGAGAACAGATCAAAATGCTGCACAATGTTTCTGTAGTGTAGTGACTGTTTGCTTCCTCCCCCTGCAACAAACACCTGTCTGTATTGGCTTGTTCGACATTCCGTTGTCAAGCATGTCACTTTGGAGCCAGTTCAGCTCCAAGGAGAACCCACTTACCTCTCACCCTCTCCAACCAAAAAGAGGACAGTGGCTAAGTTGGTCATTTGACATCTGATAAATGCAGGTTTTAGCCCTCACTTGGTGGGTGGCAGGTGACATATTGAAATAACATGTCAATTATTAGACTTAGTGAGATTAGCTCTTAAGCACTCGATGGACTGAACTCTCAGTGTGTAAAAGCCTGGCCAGTGACTTAGGTTGGGATATAGATTGTGAAAACAAGCTCCCAGTAAATTGGATTGAGACTAATTACACCACTTGGAAGACATCCAGGAAGTTTCTCTTTACCCAGAAGTAATTAATGACTGGAACAGGTTACCAGGAAGGGTGGTTGAGGCCAGCACACTGAGATTCATTTAAAAAGGATCTTGGTGCAATGATTGGGAGAGGGGATAATAATCTCGATTTACAATTGAAACTGAAACATAGAAATGTCTTAACATACTTCCAAGTAGTTTCTGTACACTGAGTTGATCTGTCATCAGTAGTGCCCAGGAGTAAATATGTATGCTCTAATCTCTGAGTCAGGAGGTTGGTCACTCACTTCACAGCTGTTTGGTGCTCTATGCAGAATACAGTCACTTCATTGAGAATTGCCATAAACTCTTGAGATATTCCAGCCTGATAAAAACCAACCAACAAGCCAGACCTGAATACACAGCCACAGAGTGTTCCTTTTACCTGTGCTCCTGGCATTGTCACTCACTGCCTCTCCAAGTGACACGCTGTTCTTTTTAAAGCAATAACACTTTATCAAAAAATCTGAGAAATCTATAGCATAGAAGGAGGTCACTCTATCAAATCTGCCCAGGCTCTCAGAGCAAGTGGTCATTCAATTTCTCTGACCCGCCCTATCCCCACACGCCTTCAAGCCTCCATCCTTTGTAAACCCTCCACTTCCCTCCTGAAACCCACAATGGATTCTGCCTCTGCCACCTTCATAGAATCATAGAATTATACAGCACAGACGGAGGCCTTTCGGCCCATTCTGCCTGTGCCAGCTTTTTGAAAAGAGCTATCGAATTCAATCCCACTCCCTTCCACCACTCTATCAGGCAATGCATTCCAGATCCGAACAACTCACCGTGTGAACAAATTTCTCCTCCCCTCTCCTCTGTTTCTTTTAACAACTATTTTAAATCGATGTCCTCAAGTTACCGACCCACCCACCAGTGGAAATAGTTTCTCCTTACTCCACAAGCATTCCACATCCCTCTCTGAGTGAAAAAGTCTCTCCTAAACTCTCAGTCCGCACTTCTTGTGACTCGCTTATATCTGGGTCCTCCAGTCCCCGACCAGTGAAGACAGCTTCTCCCTGTCAAAACCCCTGGTCATTGTGGCCACCTCTATCAGGTCCCCCCTCAACCCTCTCTACTCCAGTGAAAAGGAGTCCTGTAGCTCAGTGGTTAGAGCACTCGCTTTGCAAGTGAGAGACCTGAGTTCAATTCCAGGCAAGTCAGGGCGAAACCTTGGGCAAGTTTCCTTACTCCACACGCCTAATAATAATCCATCTAAAAAAAAAAAAACTTAACAATAAATTGGTCATTTTCAATCCATGACTGTTTGTGGGACATTGCTGTGCGTAATTGGCTGCCGCGTTCGCCCACAAATATACAGTCAATTCACTTTACAGTATATTCTGTGAAGCGCTTTGGGACGTCTAGAAGACGTGAAAAGCGCTATATCAAATGCAAGGATTATTATTATTAAAAGCAGACTCAATTTTTCCAATCTCTGCTCATCACTAGACCCTCAGCGCTGGGATCATTCTTGTAAACCTCCTCCAAAACTGAATGCAGTTACTCCAGTTGCAATCTAACTGATAACAACCACAACTTGCATTTATATAGTGACCTTCACACAGGGTATCGTCTCAAAGTGCTTAACAGTGGCATAACCTGACACCAAGCTGGGGGAAGGGGGTAGGGGAAGGTGACCTCTCCCCTCTGCATGTTCGAAGAGGAGGTTTTTAGGCGTGATCTGAAAATGGGGAAGGAGGAGGCAAGGCGGAGTGCTTCAGGGAAATGAAGGGAGGCTCTCTCGCCCCGTGCCCTGGCTGACAATTCCCCAATTAAAATCAGTCACCGTTTGCAAGATATTGCTATATGCAAATTGACCTCTGCGTTCACTGACAAAAAACAGTCACTACACTTTACATTGAATCCTGTGAAGTGCTCTGAGCTGTCCACCTGACATGAAAGGCCCTGTGTCAAACGTAAAGGGCGGTATTGTTTGTGCAAACCTTTGTTGACGCCTCCAAGTAACAGCTAAGTCTCGAGACACTTGAAGCAGCTCAGATACAGGAAATTAAGCCTCACAAAAAAAAGTTGGTAACATACACGTCAGGCAAAGTACTTCCAAGAGAGGGCAAGAGCAATCTCAGAGCACGTCAGTCTCTTATTTAAACGACCGTCTTACCAACGCTCTCCCAAACCTGGCCCGGCAGCTTGCCAGCTCAGCGTTTCCTACAGGGATCTTGGGCAAAGTACAGTACAAAAACAACTCGCCTTTACTTAGTGCCCTTCACGCTTAGCCGCGACTCGGAGCATTTAGCAGTGGAGGAGCCTGATGTTGAGCCGGGGCGGGGGGGGGGGGGGGGAGGGAAGAGAGCGAGGGAGAGTGACTATAGGCATAGTCGATGAGGAAGATCTTCAGGTGCGATCTGAAGACAGGCAAAGAGAGGGGATAAGGCGGCGGGCGGGAGGGAGAGTTCCAGAGAATTGGGGAGTAGTGGCCCATGATAGAGGGGAGAAGGTACATGGCAGAAGACATGCAGCCGGTTGACCAGCTTCCTCTCCTGGCCATGAATTTTTCTGCCCTAAAAAAAAGAAAGAGGGTTCGAGACAATCTCTCTCTCTTTCACTCTCTCTCTCTCTGGAGTCTCAGTCGCAGTTTCCAAGCCGCAGCTTTTGTTTTTCTCTCTGTCTCCCCTCCACCTCCAGTCAAGACGACCGATGAGATGAGATGAGATATCAGAGGCGCATAACACCCCACACACGAGAGAGAGACACAGAGAGAGAGACACAGAGAGAGAGACACAGAGAGAGAGACACACACAGAGAGAGAGAGACACAGAGAGAGAGAGAGAGACAGAGAGAGAGACACAGAGAGAGAGAGACACAGAGAGAGACACACAGAGAGAGAGACACAGAGAGAGAGAGAGACACACAGAGAGAGACACACAGAGAGAGAGACACACAGAGAGAGAGAGAGACACAGAGGGAGCGAGAGAGGGAGAGAGAGAGAGTGAGGGGGGGGGGAGACCGTGAGAGACTCAGAGTGACCCAGCGAGCAGCTCAGACGGGACGGGGACGGGGACCCCCACACCCCCACAACTCGGGAGTGGCCCGCGCGTGTGTGTGTGTGTTGTGTGTGTGTGTGGTTCGTTCGCTGCGCGTCTCGGGACGTCCTCCCCCCGACGCGAAAGGCGCTCTCATCGTCTAAATGGAATATTGTCGTCGTCGTTCGCCGTCTTTCCGCCGCGCGGGCGGGGGGGAGAGGGGGGGGGGAGGAGGGGGGGGTCGGCACTCACCTGGTGCGTATTTTGTCTCAGCGTGTGCTGAGCGGAGGGAGCGCCGGCACAGGCGCCGGGAGCGGGGGGGACCCGGCGGGCGGGGCTCCCTCTTCAGGCGGGACCCTTGATCTTCAGGATCCGCTGGTGGACCTCCCGGCGGTGGGCCGGCCAGCTGGCCAGGTCCCGGGGCCGGGCCACCTCGCACCAGGACAGGGCGAGCAGGGCGAGCAGGAGCGCGGCGGCGGCGACCACCGCGGGGGCCACTGCGGGGGCCATCGGGGGCTGTGTGTGTGTGTGTGTCTGTCTGTCACTCACTCACTCACTCACTCTCTCACACTCACTCTCTCTCACACACACACACAGTCTCGAACAAGGAAGTCGAGTGAGTCCTGTTGGGGGGTTTGGGGCTGTGCCAACAACCGTGGGGCTGTTGCTAAGGGTGTGTGTGTGTGTGGGGGGAGGGGGGGGGGAGGGGGTGGGGTGTGAGGGGGGGGGGAGGGGGGGTTGTTAGGCTGATGATGTGATAAAGGCTTTGCTCATTTCACCTGTCACGGGATTGATTGCAAAGTGGTAAAAAAGCACCTGCTCTCCCCTCCCCTCCTCTCTCCCTCCCCTCCTCCTCCCTCTCCCTCTCCTCCTCCCTCCCTCTCTCTCCCTCTCTCCCTCCCTCCCTCTCCCTCCCCTCCTCCCTCCCTCTCTCTCCCTCCTTCCCTCTCCCTCCCCTCCTCCCTCTCCCTCTCTCCCTCCCCCTCTCCCCCTCTCCCTCCAGTGCAACTGCGATCAGTCCAGATAGACGCTGCCACTCGCTGCCACTCAGCCACACTTCCGCGTCTTTCACTGTCACTCTTGGTCTTACTTACCAGAGAGAGAGAGAGAGAGGAAGACACACACACACCACATCCCACAAATACACACCCACCCCCCACCCCACAAACACACCCCCCACCCCACAAACACACACCACACCCCACAAACACACACCACACCCCATAAACACACCCCCACCCCACAAACACACCCCCCACCCCACAAACACACCCCCCACCCCATAAACACACCCCACAAACACACCCCCACCCCACAAACACACACCACACCCCACAAACACACACCACACCCCATAAACACACCCCCCACCCCACAACCACCCCCCACCCCACAAACACACCCCCACCCCACAAACACACCCCCACCCCACAAACACACCCCACCCCACAAACACACCCCCCACCCCACAAAACACCCCACCCCACAAACACACCCCACCCCACAACACACCCCCCACCCACAAACACACCCCCCACCCCACACCCCCCCCCCCACAAACACACACCACACCCCACAAACACACACCACACCCCATAAACACACACCACACCCCATAAACACACACCCCCCACCCCACAAACACACCCCCCACCCACAAACACACCCCCCCACCCCACAAACACACACCACACCCCACAAACACACACCCCCCACCCCACAAACACACACCCCACAAACACACCCCCACCCCACAAACACACCCCCCCACCCCACAAACACACCCCCACCCACAAACACACACCACACCCCATAAACACACACCCCCCACCCCACAAACACACACCACCCACAAACACACACCCCCACACCCCACAAACACCACCCCCACCCCACAAACACACACCACACCCACAAATACACCCCCCCCCTCCCCCACCCCACACACAGGATCACTGACAGCCTGTACATTACTGCCTGATACGCAACTGGATTCCCACGAGCACAGGTCAAATGGGAGAGGGCAGTCAGGGGAAGGCTTGACTGACCCTTTCTGGCTTCAACTTTTATTCCTGTGCTCTGTTGGCGTTTCACCAGAAATTTTAGGCAGAGCGTGTGACTGAATGGTGCTGATGTGGCTCTCGGTGACGCACTCACGCACGGCGTGCATGCGTGCACACCCGCGCTCATGCACAATGTGCACGTGTGTGCGCATGGGTCACCGTGTGTGTGTGTGTGCACACCGTGTGAGTGTGTACAAATTGTGTGTGTGTGTGTGCACTGTGTTTCGGAGCATGCGTGTGCACAAATCGTGCACATGTGTGGCTGTACACACTGTGAATGTCAACACTGTATGTAAACACTGAAGTGGGTTTGCACACATTCTGTACATATACACACATACTCCCCCCCCCACACACACACAATATATGTAGATATAAACATAAACATATATGCATATGTACACGCATAGACATATAGATATGCCTGTGCAAACTCTCGCACTCAGTGTATACACACATACACAGATATAAATATGTATTATACACACACCACGCAAACACACCAGGTGCCATTTATGTATCACACAGAAGTCAGGCAGGGTGATGTTGAGAAGGGAGTGAAGAGGATATTCAAAACAGGAAGAAGGAAGTGATCTGAGCATTAAACTGATTGTGTAAGAGTGTGAACAGAGCAGCAAAGTGAATAGTAAAATAGTAAAATGAGTAGCGAATGAGTCTTTCCGACGCGAAGGGCGTTATACAAGTGTAATTTGTTGTGTATTTTTGGGGATGACCGTTCGTCACCCTCCTGGACTATACAAGGGCCCTTTGTCTTAAAATCAAAATGCATAAATATATATACGTACATTACATACTAACATACATAATTATTGCAATTAATATAGAGTCTTATCACATCGTCGAGATGTCCGAAAGTGCTTCAGAGGATTTACTGTAAAGTGTAATGACCGTGTAGTTTGTGGGTGAAATGCAGCAGCCAGTTTGCTCACAGCAATGTCCAGCATGAAGTGAGTGACCAATTTTTTATTTGGGATATTGTCAACCAGAAGAGAGAAACTCCCTTCTCTTTTCCAGTAGTGCCGCGGGATCTTTAACATCCACCTGAACAGGCACAGATGGGACTACAGCTTAACATCTCATCCGAAGGTCACCACCTCTGACAATGCAGCACATCCCCAGCGCTGCATTGGAGTGTCAGTTTAGACTGTGATTTTATTTCCCGACGAGGGGCTTGAACCCACAACCTTCTGACTCTGAGGCAACCACTGAACTAGGCTGACACACAAATAGGGGCATAGAACCCATGCCAACCATTAGTTAGTCCACTGTTTGAGTGTTGTGCTCTGCTCTGGACACCACTCTGTAGGAAAGAGATAAAAAGGAGAGGAGATCTGGTGGAATAGTCCTGGGGAACAGAGAGTTTCACTATGAGCAGAAATAGAGGGAACGGGTCCGTTTCTCACGGAACAGAGAAAGTTGGGAGGAGACTCAGAGAGGATTGAGAAGACCTTCCTGTTTGGCCGTACCTATGGTCTCTTCTCCTCTCTCCCTGGCTCGGCACCAAGCTACCCCTCCTGTTAAATCATCCTAGACACTGCCCGTGTGAAGGAAGATGTGTAAATGCAAGTTGTTGTTACAAAATAATTAGGGATTTGATGATGTGGACAGAGGGTAACTATTTTTACTGGTGTAGGATAGATTTAAGGTGATCAACAAAAGAATAAAGGGAGATGCTAAGAGAATATTTTCACACACACACGGGTGCACTTACACACAAAGGCTTGTTAGACTTTTGGTCTGGAATTGTGTTAGTGGCAGGTAACCCGTGTTATCTTTAGAGGCAATCAGAAAACTCTATGAATTGTAAAACAGTGGGAGGGAAAGTGGGGTTAAACGGAGAGCTTCGACGGAGAACCGGCACAAAGGGCCTCTCTCTTTGTGCTGTAACTTTCTACAATGGTTACAGAACTCTGTCACATCGGCTCAGCAAACACCTGGCTGGTCACTGTGACACGCTGGCATCAACTTATTAAGCAACAGCTTCCAGTAGAGAGCAGCAGCCGGGAGGAATGAGTGTGAAGAAGGAAACAAACCAGGCACTGACCTTGTTACTCTGACCAGACACTTGCTGCTCAATTACATTCTATTGAAGACACAAAAATGCACCCAGTCATTGTATGAAGCACATTTGAGATATTTATTCGAGATACCGCAGGATATTTAACATCCACCTGAATAGGCACAGACAGGAACTCGGTTTAAAATCTCATCCTCAGTTTAACATCTCATCTAAAGGATGGCACTTCCAACAATGAAACACCCTACTCCCAGCTCTGGCCTGGACTTCAGAGTTGATAGTGCTACCAACTGAGCCAAGCTGGCGCAACAACAACAACAAGATTACACTTGTATAGCGCCTTTCACGTCGGGAGGATGTCCCAATATATAAATACTGGGACAATATATAAATGCACAATATTTTACACACACATTGGGTTGTTGGGATGTGGAATGCCTGACCTGGAATCATGTTAGAGGCAGAATCTATGGCAGTTTCTTATTGTATATAACAAGGCACTATACATATTTTCCGAAATACACACAGGTCACACCATTTTACTGGGAACTTTGAAGCACATTTAGACATCTCAACGCTCTGAAAGGCGCTGTATTTTAATCATTCTGGACACTCTCTCACTCTTCAGCTCCTTATCCACTCCCCCTCCCTTCTCCAACCCAGCTCACCTCTCGCTCAGTCTTTGCAAAGTGCTTTTGAGTGTATGTCCTTATTGTAACCATACGATGGCGCTCAGTAACAGGAAGAAAGGGGAAATTGCATTCGTTCCAACTCCACCCTGAAGTGTCTAATTCAGTAAACTACTGATAACTCAACCTTGGCTTATTCTGTCATTATCACTTAAGTCATCATGTCAGTATCCCCGCTGCGTATATTCATGTATCTATATACATAACTAACTCCTGTAGCTACAGGACTCGCATACTGTTTAGATCACTGGTTTGATTCCTGGACAGGTAAAACATTTGGCAAGTTTCCTTACCCCATATGCCTCTGTTTACCTAGCAGTAAGCGGGAACCAGGTTGTTAGTCGATTTGTGGATCGCTTTTTTGGGGTAGTAATCCCTTAAAAAACTTAAAGTTCCACATATGTCTGCACCTACACATGGAGAATTGTGTCTGGAATGGAATGCGCTCTCTCCCTGGAGGGACGTACCCTATTTACCTAATCCTGGAGATTATTAGATGTTGTGAAATCCTGTAGTTTAGAGGTTAGAGCACTCGCCTCACAAGCGAGAGGATCTTGGTTCGATTCGCAGCAAGGAAAATGTTAGGCAAGTTTCCTTACTCCGCACAAATCCTTACTCTCTGTTCACCTAGCAGTGCATAGGAACCCAGTTGTTAGCCAATTGGTGGATCACTTTTCCAGGGGTAATAATCCCTTCCAAAAAATAAATAAATAATAATAA